TCATGAGTTTTTGTGTTTTTAGTGTAAATTAATTAATTTTTTTTAATTTTAAAATAAAATAATATTAAAATATGATATGTTATTCAATATCATTATTTCATTAAATAAATATATCAGCGCTCGACTAAATTCTGTAGTATCAAAATATTCACCTATATTAAATGTAATTTGCTCTCTAGACAAAATAAAAAGTATTTTGCATTTAATTTCATTAAAAAAAACTGTAAATTGGAACCGAATGAGTTTTTTTTTGTTGTACAAGGAACCGAGAGAGTTCTAGAGTAGTACATTAGTTAGAGACAGATAGAGCATTTAATAAAATAATAGCCTAATAATTGAGCCAAAAATAAAAGTAATATTTTAGTAATTTCTTAAATTTATTTGTCAGTATGTTAATTCATCACCATCATTATCTAGGTGACTGGTAGTTGCCTTAGAAATACGTTGCTTCTCTTACAGTAACTACACACAATGAAACATTTAATGCTAACCCTAAGTGGTTGGCCTTACTTGTTTCTTTCAAAGCCATATCATATTTATGTAGCATCAAATTCAACCATTTATCCAACCAAACCCAATTTGCACCATTTCTTTCACTCAAAAAAAATAAAATCAATTTGTTGTATCATAATAATGGACAAGGGAATCGGTGTTGAATTAGCAGCTACAAGATCTTCTTTTGACATGAGAAATTCAGTAGTTGATGATAAGGATTTAGAGTGCAAAGATTCATTCTTAAGGATTGTGGAGACTTTCCTGCGGTTGTTCACTATTGGTTTGTGTGTGACAGCTCTTGTCATTATGCTTAAGAATTCTGAGGAAAATGAGTATGGTTCTGTTGCTTATTCTGATCTTGGTGCTTTCAGGTATTAATTAAGTTTTGTGAAGTGTATTAAGTTTTTATGCTTTTAAGTTTTTTTGCTATGTTGAAAATCGATAAATATAAGTTAAGATTATCGAATAACTTATTAAATTGAGTTTAGGATGATTTTTTAGTTGATTTAGAAGTGATTCAAAGAAAATGATAATGTTATTAAATCATTTATTAATTATAGATATATTTTTGTTATTATGAATATAAAATGAATAATAATAATAATTAAAAAGTGATATGTTATTTATTATCTATCTATTAAAAATTAATTGTATGAATTTTTTAAATTGTTCTTTCACTATAAATTTTTTTACGATAAAAAAGAGTATTTAAGTAACTAAGTAATATTTATTTTTTTTCATTCTCATTTTATATTACAATATGATACATTTATTTTTCAACTTTCATTAAATCACAATTAAATATTACACACATATTTATTTTCTCTCTTGATTAAAATTTTAAAACTCTTTCATATTTCTTTTTCTCACACTTATCATTTTTATTTTCATTTTTTTCTATTTAATTATTATCAATAAAAATACTAATAATTTGTTTTTATTTATTTTAATAAAATTAAAATTTTATTTATCTCACGAATCACTATCAATACAATATATATTTTATTTTAATTAATATTGTCTTAATCTGATAAACAAAATTTTTATTTTTAAATATTTTTTTTCTTTTTCTATCTCACTGTTTCTTTTTTATTTTTGTATGATTAATTAATATAATTAAAATTATATGATTATTATTCATTTTATAATTAAATAAATTATTTTAAAATTTACATTTATATCTAAATACATTTTATAATACATCAAATAATTTTTCTTTATTTCACAGGTCATTATAAATGTCTATTTTATTTTAATCAATATATCTTTATTTGAGAGAAAAAATTTATTTTCAAATGTTAAAAATTTTTTTTTCATCTCACGAATATTTTTTTATATAATTATTTAATATAATTGAATTTATATAATTATTATTTATCTAAATCGTTTATTTTAAATTTACGTGTGTCTAAACATATTTTAAACAATATCAAATAAATTTACGTGCTAATATATATATATATATATATATATATATATATATATATATATATATATATATATATATATATATATATATATATATATATATATATATATATATATATATATATATATATATATATATATATATAAAGAGCAGATACATTTGAAAACATAAAAAAATACACTTAGTCAAAGAAGATTGACTCATTTAATAAGGACAAAGCGATTTGTAATTGTTCTTTGAGCTTTGAGGTTTGAGGTATGCATTGATTCTAGTAAAACTTGGAGTTTAACACGCTAAACATTTGATTAAAAAAATTTATAAACAAAATACACTTAGAAAATATCAATTAAAACTAAATTGAAAGTGATACATTTGTTGAAGTAATTATTATAAAATGAGTGTGGCTATTATTTAGTTTTAAAAAAATATCATGTATCATTTTGAAAAACTATAGCAATTAAAAATATTGAAAATAATATAACCGAAAAATTATATAGAAAGAATAAATATATTTTTTTTAAATTATTAATTTATAAATATCAACAACTTATTTTTTTATAATATATATTTTTTTAAAAAAAATTCTACACACTCTTTTATTCTTGTTACAAGACATCCCTTTTAATCTTGTTACAAAATACACATCCCTCCTAAGCAAATAAAATGTAATAAATCATATCTATTTTTGTGGTCAATAACTATAGTCATCTCTTAAAAAAAATCAATTAAAACTAAATTGAAAGTGATACATTTGTTGAAGTAATTATTATAAAATGAGTGTGGCTATTATTTAATTTTAAAAAAAATATCATGTATCATTTTAAAACACTATAGTAATTAAAAATATTGAAAATAATAGAACCGAAAAATTATATAAAAAGAATAAATATTATTTTTTTTTAAATTATTAATTTATAAATATCAACAACTTATTTTTTTTATAATATATATAATTTTTAATAGAAATTCTACACACTCTTTTATTCTTGTTACAAAATTGACATCCCTTTTAATCTTGTTACAAAATACACATCCCTCCTTAGCAAATGAAATGTAATAAATCATAACTATTTTTGTGGTCAATAACTATTGTCATCTCTTAAATAAATTTATTTATCGACAAAAATTGTCATTTTTTTTCCAATCAAGTCATTTTTTTCCAACTTCAATTAACAAATTGATATTTGACCATAAAGTACCAAGTTGTTTTGCAACCAATTTTAAAAAGATATATCTCAACTGCTAACAATTTCTAAATTATTTTAAAGAATTATTACAACACTTTCTCAAACAGTTTCGTGCTAAATCATTACTCACACTAGCAACAACTCAAACAGTTTCGTGCTAAATGATTACTCACACTAGCAACAACGTAACAATTATACATGATCTAAAATTTGTTATGTTTAAAGCGTAACCAAAAAAAACTTCGTAAAAATGTTTGTCAAATATAAAAAATCTTATTTAATTTGTTACTCTTAAATCGTAATTAACCTACAAATGACTTTCAAAATTTTAAGAAGGGTTTGATGAATAGCCACACTGAAAATTAGATCACAGATTATGCCAAATTGTTTAACCGGACATGACAAATTGTTCAATCGCACATTTTAACAAAGTGAGCATGGCCTCTCGTTCTCTGATTCAAAAGCACCTCTCTGTTGCATGACACTAACATGCAACCTCTTAGTTATATTAGCCGGAGTCCGAATTGAACTCGAGGAAGCACACAACTGTCTGTTCCAATTTCAAATTGTACCTCAAAGAATAAGTGGTTGAAAAGTGTTGTGATCGTCAAAGTTACAATGCCAACGGCATTTGTGCATTTTGTAGGTATTTGGTGCATGCAAATGGCATTTGTGCAGGATATTCACTATTCTCAGCTGTCATAATTGCTATGCCCCGTCCTTCAAGCATGCCTAGAGCTTGGTCTTTCTTTTTGCTAGACCAGGTCATCTCACTTTTTGTCAATCTATAATGTAATAAACTAAATACCAATTCACAACTTGAAGAATTAAATATTTTTCTCCTTTGTGTTTGATATCCTATAGGTGCTTACCTACATAATCCTGGCTGCTGGAGCTGTATTATCAGAAGTTCTGTACCTTGCTGAAAAGGGACTCTCCACAGCAGCATGGAGTTCAGTTTGTGGATCATTTGGTTCATTTTGTCACAAGATCAAAGCATCATTAGCTATCACATTTGTTGCTGTGATTTGCTATATTTTGCTTTCACTTATTTCATCTTATAGGCTATTTAGCAAATATGATGCACCATCATCACAGGTCAACAACTCCAACAAGGACATTGCTGCTTTCAATGGTTAATCTTAAAATATTTTGCTTGTAATGTAATGTGTACATTAATCATGTTCAAGTGCTTTGGCTTAAAGTGCCTCTAAACCGAGTAGCTTTAACAGTGTGCTTTTGAATGTCATGTAACTCGTGTAATAATCTAAACTTGTCTTTTTGTGTATTGCTGAAAGCAATATGTATGTTTAAGTATATGACAATCGATAGTAACTTTTTCCATCATTGAGAAAGTAACTTTTTCCTTATTTTTACTCAAAATACACTACAGTATAAAGTAACAATTTTTGACAATTTACTGAAATTCTAATGTTACTTGAGAAAGTAACAATTTTTTCAATGAACTGTAATTAGGATTTTTTACCACTACCACGAGCCACGGTACTACCACTACTTGTATTTTTTTGGACCTGTTATGAAACTGGTTCTAAGACACAATGAGGTACGGATATCCCAATTGGCCGACTCAACAAATAGAACTAGTCATTTTTTCTGCATGACAATCACATTGTTAACTCAACCAAAACAATGGCCATACAATCAAGCTATAGTCAAGTTCACAAAATAAGAGTAACCCATATCCAAAACCACATGTTGAAACTCTAAACTTGTCCTTATTTTTGTAATACAAAAAGGTTTATCAAGAACATCGAACACAACAAATTTTGAACCTACATTGTTCATTTGCAGTCCTTAGACTTACTTTATTTGATAATTTACCAAACCTCATTATCAAAAGGGTATGATAAAAGAGGTAAAAGTTCAAATCAGTGGCTAGCAGCAGGCTGATTGAGAAGACTCCATCCAAATGAAAGCGTACACAACATAAGCCCCAATATTGCCGGCATAAACAATCCCCTGTTAGCATATGAATTCAGTTACTTATTAATCTATGATGGTGTTAATTACAAAAACAACACTTATAGCTAATGATGAACTTTACTCACCCGAGTTTAAGACGGTTCTTGGGTTCGCCGGAGGAATAGCCTTTGAAGTAGAAATATCTAGCAACAGTGTAAAGTACTCCAAGGGCAGCACAAATGGATGGATGCTTCAACCCTCCCAAAATCATCAATGTGAAGAAAATGGGCATTGTTTCAAGAGAGTTTTGGTGCCCTCTCTGCACTCACCAAAATACAATATAATTACAATTCATACAAGACATAGACACCCAAAAAAGCTCTTAATATCATACCCTTTAATATATATTTTTAACACATCACTAAGCCAAAAAAAACTCTATTCATCAACTAATATCACAACAAGGAACACAAGAATCACAATGTTGACATCATACCCTTTAATTTGAATTTAAAGTAAAATGATCTATATTTGGGACAAATTCTAAAAATCTTAACTTCAAGTTAGAATCAATTTTAAAGACAAATTCAATTCCAACCAATAACATCCAAACATGACAAACTGAACTATAAGTCTCCAAATTCACATTTAGTTCTCCCAAAAGTGAATTCAAACATGCACTATGTATCATGATGTCACTCATAAAAAAAAAATCATGAGTATTATTGAATTTACTTGTGTAAATTTCTGTTTAGTTTGTTAAAAAGCAGTTAGGAATCAGTTAGTTAGTTATTTGATTCAGTTAGTTAGTTGAGCTGTATATAACTACCTAATGTATCACTATTCCATTCATGAAATAAGAATGAGAGCTTATTTACCTTTGAGTTTCTACATGGTATCAGGAGAAAAATCACAATTCCGCACATTTCTTCATTGCTTTCTTCCTCATTCAACAATGGCAGCAATGAATCATTCTTGATTGTTCATTGTTGATTGTAGTCTCAGTTTTTCTGCTCTCAGTTTTGTGGTCTTCTTTGATCTTTCTTGCTAGTTTCTGTTTGCGTTTTCTTCTTGATTGTGTTCAGAATCGATTTTCTGGTGATTTGAAGCTTTTCTTCTGCACCAATGGCAGCTCGGATTCAAATCACAACCGCAAACCTTCAAGATTCAACGCATGATTACTACATTCACCCTAATGAGAATCCTTCTCTGGTTCTTGTTTCTCCGATCCTTGATGGTAGCAATTACCATGGCTGGGCTCGAGCCATGGAAATGTCACTGCAGATGAAAAATAAATTTGGTTTTGTGGATGGTTCGATACCAAGGCTTGCAGACAATGATCCAATGCTTTCAGCTTGGAAGAGATGCAATAATCTGGTGCTTTCATGGATCAATCATTCAGTATCATCAGAAATTGCAACTAGTGTTATATGGCTTGATTCTGCAACTGCTGTGTGGAAGGATCTTAAAGCACGTTTTTCTCAAGGTGATTCTGTTAGTATTTCTCATCTTCATCATGAATTGTATTCTTTGAGTCAAGGTGATTTGTCTATTACTGCATATTACACTAAGATGAAGATTCTATGGGATGAGATGTGTAATTACAGAACTATTCCTGCTTGTTCTTCTCCAACTGCTTGTTGTTGTGAAGCTGTGAAAACCTTCAAGCAGTACAGAGATAATGATTGTGTTCTTTGTTTCTTGAGAGGATTGAATGATAATTATGCTGCAGCTCGATCTCAAATTCTGCTTATGGATCCCTTACCAGATCTGCCTAAGATCTTCTCCATGGTGATTCAACAGGAAAGACATCTAAGCATTAGTGTGCTTCCTGATTCTGCAGCTATGATGGTTCAGGCTAATTCTTCTCAGGCTTTACCTTCTCAGCATACTGCTTCTGGTAAAGGCAAATCTTCATATCAGAAATCTTATGGCAAATCTAACAGGCAGTGCACACATTGTGGAAGACAGAATCACACAGTTGATACTTGTTTTCAAAAGCATGGTTATCCACCTGGATTTCCAAATGGACACAAGCCAAAGAAGGCTTATATTGCTGCCACTGGGGCTGATGCATCAGTTGATGAAGAGCAGTCTATTTCTTCAGGCTTGGAACTCACAAGGGAACAACTTCAAGGTTTACTAGCTTTGCTTCCTTCCTCTAAATCAACAGCTACCTCACATTCTTCCAATCTTGTGAGCACTCTTAATGTCATTACCAATGGCATAGGTAAGTCCATTATTACATCGCACTGGATCATGGATTCAGGTGCTACAGATCATATAGCATGTTCCTTACATTTCTTTGTTTCCTATCATGCTATAAATCCTGTTCAAGTTTCTTTACCAAATGAAGCCAATGCAGTTGCACATTACATAGGGACAGTTATTCTTTCTCCTACCCTGATTTTATATAATGTCCTTTATGTTCCTAGTTTTTCTGTCAACTTGATCTCTATCTATAAATTGACCAAAACCATGCCCAACAGGCTTGTTTTTAGTGACAATTATTGTTATGTACAGGACAAGATCACCTTGAAGATGATTGGGAGAGCTGAGATCAAGAATGACCTTTACATCATGCAATTACCTCCTTTTCCTCAAGTGCAACCTTTAGCTTCTTTTCATACTGTTTGTATGGCCAAATCATTACCAACTTCTATGCCTCATGTTTGGCATCATAGATTAGGCCATCTTTCTTCTAGTTGTTTTGAAAAACTTCACAAATTGTATCCAAATATACCTTTTACTCATTGTGATCCTTGTGATTCATGTCACTATGCAAAGCAAAAAAGATTGTCTTTTCCATTAAGTACTTCTGTTTCAGAAAACATATTGTCTTTGTTACATGTTGATATTTGGGGTCCATATTGCCATGCTTCTATAACTGGTGCCAAGTATTTTTTAACAATTGTAGATGACAAATCTAGGTTTACTTGGATCAAGTTATTGAAGAATAAATCAGAAGCTAGAATAGCCTTACAGAATTTTATTGTTTATGCACAAAACCACTTTCAGAAACCAGCTAAGGCAGTAAGAACAGATAATGGTCTAGAGTTTCATATTCCTGATTTTTATAACTCTCATGGCATTAACCACCAATTGACATGTGTAGAAACCCCTCAACAAAATGAAGTTGTTGAGAGGAAACATCAACACATTTTGAATGTGGCTAGGGCTTTGATGTTTCAGTCCAAATTAACAATTCATTTTTGATCCTTTGATGTCCTTCATGCAGTATACTTGATTAATGTCTTGCCCTCAAAAGTTCTTTCTTTTCAATCACCACATATGGTTCTACATAACATCAAACCTGATTTAGATAGCTTAAGAATTTTTGGTTCATTGTGTTATGCCACTACCATCACAACTCATAGAACTAAATTTCAGGCAAGGGCTAGGAAATGTGTCTTACTAGGATATAAGGAAGGGGTAAAAGGATATCTTTTGTTTGATTTACATACAAGAGAAATTTTTCTATCTAGAAATGTCATATTTTATGAAAATATCTTTCCTTTTCTTGATCATAATACTGCATCACAAGAATCACAAGATACTTTGTTCACTGTTTCTTCTTTACCTACTGAAATCAATGCATCTTTGCTTGAACCTTCATCTTCTCATATTCCTGTTGTTCCTCCAACTTTGCCTGTAAGACAATCCACCAGAACCAAAACAAAGTCATCTTACTTACAGGATTATCATTGCAATTTGGTCCATTCTTCATCTCAGGATTCTCAACCATCTTCAACATCTTCTACTGGTACACTTTATCCATTTTCTGATTTCCTGTCTTATTCTTCCCTTTCACCATCCTATCAGTCCTATGTCTTCTCTTGTTCCACTTTGGTTGAACCAAAAACATATAGTCAGGTTGTTAAAGAGGAATGTTGGAGGGAAGCTATGAACCTTGAAATTGCAGCCCTTGAGAATACTGAGACATGGAAATTGACTCCTCTACCACCTGGCAAACATCCAATTGGATGTAAATGGGTGTTTAGGATCAAGAGAAAAGCTGATGGCACTGTAGAGAGGTTCAAGGCTAGGTTGGTTGCCAAGGGCTACACTCAACAAGAAGGTTTAGATTACTTTGAAACCTTTTCTCCAGTGGTTAAAATGACTACTGTTAGATTGGTCCTTGCATTGGCAGCATCTAAGGGTTGGTTCCTAAAACAATTAGATGGTAACAATGCTTTCCTCCATGGTACTTTGGATGAAGAGGTGTATATGACACCTCCTCCAGGTTATAAAACTGCTCATCCTAATCAAGTTTGCAAACTCATCAAGTCCTTATATGGCTTAAAACAGGCCAGCAGGCAATGGAATCATACACTCACTGCCTACCTTCTTTCCTTGGGTTACAAACAATCACAGAGTGATTACTCTTTGTTTGTAAAATCACATGCTGGTCATTTAACAGTTTTGCTCATCTATGTAGATGATATTGTCCTCACAGGTGATGATCTGGAAGAAATCACAAGTGTTAAACAATTTCTGGATGCTAAATTCAAGATCAAAGACTTAGGGGATCTCAGATATTTTCTTGGTTTTGAAGTAGCAAGGTCCAAACAAGGCTTGGTGATTTCACAAAGGAAGTATGCCTTGGAGCTCATTGAAGATGCAGGTTTACTTGCTAGTCAGCCTGCCTGTACTCCAATGCTTCCTGGTTCTAAATTTCCAGCCATCACAGATAATCCATTTCCTGATATTGAGGCTTATAGAAGACTCATTGGCAGGCTTCTGTACCTCACTAACACAAGGCCTGATCTGTCATTTGCAGTGAGCACTTTAAGCCAATTTTTGTCCAAACCAATGAGAGAACATCATGATGCAGCTTTGAGAATTCTCAGGTACCTCAAACAGCAGCCAGGACAGGGTTTGTTCTTTCCCTCAGAATCTTCACATAAAATCACAGGTTTTTGTGATTCAAATTGGGCTTCATGTATTGATACTAGGAGGTCCATCACAGGTTACAATGTGTTCTATGGAGATTCTTTGATTAGTTGGAAGTCTAAGAAGCAAAGCACAATCTCCAGATCATCTTCTGAAGCTGAGTATCGGGCCATAGCAACCACAGCTTGTGAAATTCAGTGGTTACTGTACCTTCTCAAGGATCTTTATCAACCAATCCAGCAGCCTGTAGCTTTGTTTTGTGATAATTTGTCTGCCATTCACATTGCTCATAATCCAACATTTCATGAAAGGACAAAGCATATTGAGATTGATTGTCATTTGGTTCGAGATAAGATACAACAAGGCATTCTTAAACTTATGCCTATTCCAACACATGCTCAGTTAGCAGATCTGCACACAAAGGCTCTTCATGGTCCTCAGTTTCAGCTTCTATTATCCAAGCTTAGTCTCAAAAATTTGTACATACATGCCTAAGCTTGAGGGAGGGTATTGAATTTACTTGTGTAAATTTCTGTTTAGTTTATTAAAAAGCAGTTAGGAATCAGTTAGTTAGTTATTTGATTCAGTTAGTTAGTTGAGTTGTATATAACTACCTAATGTATCACTATTCCATTCATGAAATAAGAATGAGAGCTTATTTACCTTTGAGTTTCTACAAGTATCACCCACATTTGAGTATCACCAGTGTTTTTTTTTTTTGTGTGTGTGTGAACAATGAAAGGTATAGAAGCAAAAGACAAAAATCCAAACACTTTCAGCATTCAGCTTGAGCCAGAGAGAGATTACCTGAACACAATTGAAGAGCTTGGCATCTTTGTTTTCAGATTCAGAAGCATAGAGTGTTGGATAAAACACTTTGTACCTGTGGGGAATTTCAACAAACACCTTGTAAGCAAAACCACACAACTGGCATCTCTCTATAAACAAGAACGAAAATTAAGACAAAATAAAAAGCAATTACTTCTTGCGAGCTTTGCCGACATGAAAGGTCATGTAGAAATTGAGGAAGCAATAGATAACGAGAACAATAGCCACAAAGCCATATTCTTTTGGCAGCAAATCTACAAGTGCCGCCATTTTCGGATGTTGGGTATGTTGTTTTTTGAAAGAACGAAGGATTCGATGAGCTGAGCAATGTGTTGTTTCGTTGTGCCACGAGTATTATAAAACATTCATTTAATTTCATTTAGGTATCTTTTTCTAGAAAATATATTTTTTCCAATTAAAAATTAAATGTAAATTGTATTAAATAAAATTTTAGATGATATTTGTAATTGGTCCGGCATGAATGATGTTTGCAATTGTGGTTAAGTTAATATAGTTGTAATATTATCTATTTCAAATGTAATTATAATTCAACAAGTTTCTTATGAATGAAATGTTAAGTTTCAAATGTAATGTTAAGTTAAGTTTCTTATGAATGAAATGATAAGGTCCTTTTATCTATTTCAAATGAAAGTTTTAGTTGTAATGTTATTTGTACCACTTCGATATGATTATGTTTTATGTACTATTTCACCTGAATGACAGATACATAAAACATTGATAGAACTTTAGTAAAAAAATTAATATTGATAGGACTGATACAGAAAAACTTGAAAGTACTGATACATATAACCTTGAAAGTAGAATTGATGCAATTTAGATTAACAAAATGAAACATTGGTGCATAAGTATATTAGAAGCACATTTGGTGCATATGTCTGATACAAGCACACTTGGTGCATAAGTCTATTGCATAATTTCAAAATAGCACAAAAGGCACATAGTACAAAATGAAAGAAATATTATATGACAGATGCAAAAGACATAAGTTGCAGATACATAGGTCTATAACAACAAAATATAACAATTAACCTCTCATTTTCTTGATCTTTCATGTCTTCAAAGACCTAGTTGACACTCTGTTGGCTGAAGATTTTGATAATGTTATTTAGAAGCCAAATAAGTTAAACGTTTTGATCGAAATGGAATTAAGCGTCATATTTCGAAGTAGCAGAAGCAGTGTTTCGAATAAGTGTGTCAAAGCTTGGAGCTTCGAGCGGCAATTATGGGAACGTATCTAAAGGAGTCTCGAAACAACAGCGAGGCTGTGTTTGGGAAGAGCGCTCGAAACGGAGAAACACCAAAGCATTTAAAATTCAAATGGAAGCGGGACTTTCAAAGTTTGAAAGTTATGTGTTGGAGCATTTGGGGACACGTGGAAAGATGAAAGAAGCATTGTCTTGCATGTTCAAAACGTGGCATAATCCTATAGCGAGACCGTTAGGGTCGAATTAGTATAAATAGAAGTCTTAGTATTAGGATTTCGGTGTGTCATATCTATTATACAAAATACTCAATAACATTCAAACTACCACATGGCAAGGGAAACGAATGCAAGAGAAATGTATGTATGATAGCACCATGTATTTCTGATTTAATGAAAACCTTTTACCATTTCCAGTACTTTCCTTTATTCTTTTTGTCAAACAACATTTACAAGTTTTCTTATTTACAGTCTTTTCACTTCGAAGTCTCTTCCTCAAAGTTTTACGTTTTATTGTTTTCTTTATATTTCGAGCACTTTACATTTCAGAAAACTGTCACATTTTCCATACCTTTACCTTCAAGTTTTGTCTTTCGAACGCATACTTTTACTTAAAATCATTTACAAATTTCTTGCATTAAACGCTTTCTTCACATTTCAAACTTCTACATTCCAGAAACCCTTTATGTTAACCGTTTTGTAAGTCAAAACCATTTACTTCATTTTCATGCAGTTTTATATGTCTTTACAATTAGCATTACAATTAGCATTTATTCGTACAACTCAGTTTTCATACACATTTTGATTACATCTTTAGACTCTTAGAGAGAGAGAGAGAGATCGAAACAAGCCAAACACTTATACAATATCAACCATGAATATCTGTTCGATTGTGAGAGTAACCTTAATATCCAAGGAGTCCTAGGATCAATCTAGTCGATCCTGTGAGTTACCAGAGGGATTGAATAACAGTAAGAAAGATTATTCGATAGTTTGGAAGACTAGCGGTTGTTTACCAGAAATCACTGGAAACAAATTGGCACACCTGGTGGGACGAATAATTGGATATCAGAATTAAGGATTGTTGAGACGTAATCATTACAAAAACGTTGGAACTTGAGAAGTTTGCTGTTTTATGAACCTAAGAAGTGGTAAGATAACCAACAGCAACCAACCTTTATCCAGAAGAAAACGTTTGGACAAAATGTCTAATTCAGACAATCAACAAGGGGACCAAAGTGGCCCACATGCAACAGGCACTAACGCGTCCACTTCGAGCGGAACATCTAATGTAATCCCTTCGAATGCACAGTCTGTTGCATCTTCGACCAGTAACATAGCCACCAATGGAGTAAGTGGCATATCAACTAATAGTTCGATCTTAGGAAATACTGGAACTATGGGCTACCCTGGGGGATTCGTTCCACCATCAGGGACACAATCCCATTTCGCCACCCCATTAACTAGACCACCCGGTTTCGATGGGAATAGAATCAGAAATTCCTCTTATGGAATGCCAACATCTTTTATGGCCGGTTTACACAATTCCACATCGAATTCATCTCCACAACTAGGGTCTGGGTCTGGGGCGAATCAATTTATGACAAATAACCAAGGGTCGGTGGGTTATAGCACATTGCCTATCCTAACCACAGATAACCAGTTAGCTTTTAGGCAATTGATGGATGACAGTAACCATAATATGATAGGGGTGTTAGCGCAAACCATGCAGGAGATATTTACCCCAATAGTGCAGAATGTGACTGTGACGAACAGGGAAAACGCTGACAATATGAGTCAAATAGCAGATTTCTTTGCTCCTCCAGAAAGGCGTAGGCAGAACCAGGCGGGATTTCGAACAAACATGCCTGTTATAGAACAAATTGCTAACGACCCAATTTATAGACCACCCAGAGAAGAAGTTAACTTAGGGGCCAGGGCACCAAGGTTAGAAGCCCCAATAATCCCGGGTCCACAAAGGGAAGTTATGGAACCAGGGGCAAGGGTCGAAAGGCCAGAAGCCCCAGAATTTCGAGAAGAACAACCTAGGGGAGTTGTTTTGGTTGGTCGAAATCAAGATGCCGATGCCGTCGTTCATAGGATTCGAAACGATAACATCTTGGCAGAAAACAACCTAACCACCATGATAGAGAGGGTCATGGCCCAGAATGGCCTCAACACAGGAATGAGAAGGCCAAATTACGCTTCTCCTATATTGGATTGCATAATGCATACTGATTTACCAAGGGGATATAAAGTCCCTAAATTTACAAAGTTCGCTGGGGATACCAATGAGTCAACAGTCGAACACATAACGAGATATCTGACCGAAGCGGGAGATATAGCCAATAATGAAGATCTCAGGATCAAATACTTCCCAAGTTCCTTGACAAAAAACGCCTTCACGTGGTTTACCACTTTGCCCCCTGGGTCCATTGACACTTGGACTCTCTTAGAGAGATTATTCCATGAACAATTTTACATGGGACAATCGAAAATAAGTTTGAAGGAACTGGCCAGTGTTAAGAGAAAGTTCACCGAACCCATAGATGATTATTTGAATAGATTTAGGCTTTTGAAATCCAGATGTTACACAGTAGTGCCTGAACATGAGTTAGTCGAAATGGCCGCCGGTGGCTTAGATTATTCTATTCGAAAGAAACTAGACACTCAGTATTTGAGGGATATGGCTCAGTTAGCCGATAGGGTTCGACAGGTCGAAAGACTAAAGGCCGAAAAAGCCAGAGTCTTTAAGAATAGCAAGAAAGAAAGGATTTCCTACGTTGGGACTGAGGAAGCAGAAGAATACCCTGAATTCGGATTCGAAGAGGTCGAAATCGACCTCGCTGAATTAAAACAGGCCCCGCCTTACTCCTGCAAAATGTTAGTTCCCACAAAAGGGAAAGATATTGTTGAAAATGAGAAAAGTGACAAATTTCCAAAGAAGGTTTATACCTTCGACGTCACTAAATGTGACGAAATTTTTGACTTACTTGTCAAAGATGGCCAACTAATTGTGCCATCAAATGTCAAAATATCCCCCCTTTGGATCAGAGAAAGAAGAGGGGATTTTGCAAATATCATAGTTTCCTAGGCCACAAGACCTCACAATGTTTTCTTTTCAGGGACTTGATTCAAAACGCGATCAAAGATGGCAGACTAAAGTTTGCTGATAAGGCGAAGATGAAAGTGGACGAAGATCCCTTGGACGTCGCAGACACCAACTACTCCGAGCCTGCATGCATTGGAGAGGTCAACATGGTGGAAACTGATCGAAGCGACGCCCTAACAGAAGAGAAAGGTACTGGAGTTGAAAACTGGGTGATGGTCGAAGTCAGCGAGGAGGTCACTGAAGACATCCAGAATACGCCAGAGACTTCGATTGCTGCACCTATAGCTGTTGCAGGAGAAACCCAGGCTACTGAAGGCCAGGGGAATCAAAACGAAGGATTAACACAAGGCACTGAAAGTTTGAGGCTGGAATTGGAGAAAGTCCAAATCACGCAGCCAATTCCCCCTCAGAAGGAGATATGGGACACTCTAGGGGAACCCAGTGGAAAATTTGACTATTTGGTCAAATATTCTGCCCCAGAGAGTTCGAAGGTTCAGATTGAGGATATAAAGCCCACAGGATGGGGTGATGATGAAGCTAAAGAGGGGGATGTGGAAATAAATATGGTGGATATGGAAAGACCTCGCTCTGAGATGGAGGAAGTGGAAAAATACTTAGAAAAAGAAAAGTACAGAATGGGGGATAATCACACTGGAGATGCTAGTCTCAAAGATTATCTCATGACATGCCACAAAGGAGATTCAGGCATGATATTGTGCCCTAGGTGCAGCATCCTCTGCAACCAAAGAATTGTTGTGAATTTCGAAAGGGTACAGAGGGCTCGAACTGGCAACAATTGGCGCCAGGATAACCAGCTTTTTAGGTGTTATCCTAAGGCTGGGGAAAGTTTGCTGGAGTTTGTGTTTCGTTGCTACAAAGGGGCAACCAAGTGCTTGATTTGCCCAAGGTGTTCTGCTGTGTATGACCAAAGCATGG